ACTAAAAAGTAGGTTATGTTTAATCGTGAAATTTCATCGACAATATTCTCCGTTAACTAAGAAAATATCGTAACGCTACGATTGCGCTAATTAAAGTGTCGTGGAGTGGGGAGTGACCGCAACTGGCGCAGATTCAATTGCAACTCGCACATATCAAAAGAAACAAGATTTATAGCGACAGAACAAATTAATCCGTGTTGCACGGAAGTAGTTAAAAAAATAAATCTAATTTAAAATAAATCCCTGAGTACGTGTAAATATTTGTATGAGAAGGATTTTATAACCATACCAATATTATAAATGCGAAAATTTAGATGGATGGATGGATGTTTGTTGTAGCCTAAACCGCTGAACGGATTTAGATGAAGAGGTTAGTCTGGCACATAGTACTCTACTCTACTACTCACTTTTGTTTTTTTTTCAATACTATGCGGATGGAGTCGCTGGCGAATGGTAGTTTTGTAATAGTAACGAGCAGTAAACTCTCCAGACATTGAATATGAAGTTTATGATAATGTTAATATATGCAAGCCTAAAATGTATTCCCAAATATTCAATCTATATTCGTGTACATTCGAAACACGATCGTAAGTGACTCAAAGATGGAAACTCGATACTACTTAGAATGTAATATCAGCCTGAATATAGATAAGATTTTTGAAACTTCCTACTATTCGATGCAAAATGATATTTCACTATAAATGATGTGTTACCGAGGAAACTCAATAAGCGGAGTGGAGGTGAGCAGAGCAAGCTTCAGCCGTCATATTTGTTGCCCGAGGCGAGTAAGCCTCGGTGTTTCAAATATGTATACGAGCAACCGATTCCTCATTTCTCGCTGAGGCAACGGTTCACAAATTACCCATCGCCTAGTACATTACGCAGGCCGAGTGTTACGCGATATTAGTTTTCCCGAACTCATTTCCATGTCGTTGGCGTTTTTTTATCATATACGAAAATTGCCTTAAAATTGCTACATATTTTTTTTTCTAGCGTAATGTCAAATGCTTTTTTAATAAAAAAAAAATATTTTTTGAAGAGCTTTGTTACAGATTTATAGATGTAGAGAAAAAGAATAACGTAAGAGAAGTAGAAGAGAGAAGAAGAAGAAGAACACTTAGGCAATTTTGCTTTTAGATGAGGTCATCTCGGAAATGAATATTCGGCGCCTGTACAATTTGTTGCTGCAAACTTACTTTGGAAAACATTGCTAGAATAAAATCGCAGGATAACGTTTATGTAGCGTTATTCAAGTTTATCGCTTCAAGCAGCAATCTGCGTATAAACCCGAGCAGATGATATCAAAAATGCATTCGAGTTTCCAATGTTACATATGCGACGTATCTTTTTCGCTTTTGCCTATATTATTCAACACATTTAAAGAGTACTACTTCTTGTCGGACTGACAGAAGGGTAATGGTTTTGCGGATACATAAGGTTACATACGCATGTCCAAATTATGCTCAACTCTAGTCTAAATAACTTGTAGGTTTTGAAGAGAGGTTATCGACATCATAGAGTATCCAAGAGATAGGCAATCAGTCTAATCGGGATTTTTTAATCTGCAAATAATTTTATTCTGTAACTTAATATCTTTTGAGAGCAGTAAAAATGTAGTTACTACCATATTCAATAAAATATAGATGAATACGAAAGCTTCGGTGATTATCTCTCGTTTAATTAATAATTCAATTAAAATCCGACGTTTCAATTACTTTTCAACTTCCAAGTTCTTGGATTTACTGAACGTTATTCATCTTAACTGCTACTTAAGTATTATAGCCATTTATAATAAATGACAAGAGCCTAGAATAAGCAGTTAATCCTAAAGGGGACTCGTTCAATTCTTTTCAACAGTATAACGAATCTTCTGAGTCATATTTAGAAATAACTCCCCTGACAAATTAAATACATTTTTTTTTATTTTGTATAAACCAGCGCTTGACCACTATCCCACCTAGACCAAAGTGTAGATGTGGTCGAAGGATGGTACGCGCTAGTTCAGTAAGTACTTATTCACACTACTCTTGAAAGCACCAACGTTATAACTTGACGGGAAGACTGACGCCGGCAACTTATTCCACTCCTTTGCTGGGCGCACGAGAAATGATATCTCAAATCGCTTCGTTCGAAACCGCGGCACTTCAACTATGAAAGGAAGGAGACCAGCCTTACTTCTAGTTTGCTATTCCGATTGCATTAAAACTACAAATCCATAGCATTTTGTGAAATAAGGGTTTAATTCACGAGTGATAAAGTACACAGATACACAATCTGTATGTTTTTAAATGTCAACTATGCGAAAGTAATATGAGTTCGTATACAGAAGCAGAAAGCAGTGGACCGCGTCATAATTAACTGGGCCCGCGAGAGCAACGTCATGCATAAACGATGAACTGGCGCAAAAAACAACGAAACGTCGACAGCTCGTTTAAATTGCTTCTAAATATCAACAAGGCTTTAAATCTAAGTACACTTTTGTTCACATTTTGAGCGCGCGCACACTTCTGACTAAACTATCACACAACTGTTGGGCGATTGGCGATTGTTTCGCAGCAAATTCAAATGTTGCACAAATAAAAATCGAGTCGCTACTCGATTTAGAATTGACTTGGTTGGACAAAGTACTAAAACGATCATCTTAATTACGCTAACATCATCATATTGTTCCTAACGTAAGCGCATGTATAATCGACGTCAGAGAATTAGCAAAACTAATAATATCCTATTTCTGGAATTCAGTATTCATAATCCATTTGCGCTTGACCTAATATTCAATTCTCTAGCGACTTACTGTTACGTTTTGACAATCAATATTAACGATACAATTGGCCTAGTGTTACAAAAGCTCTAATATTAACTGAACACTAATCCGTACTGAACATTCAAAGCGAGAACGTTATATTTTATTAACATGTGTACGATTTAATTTTCCTTCCAACTCATATTTACTCGGAATCCGAAACTCGCACAAACAAGGGCTCAGTCGCCTTGTGCGCACATAAGTTAATAATTAATTTGTTTTTGCACACACAAGTACGTAGCCTTGACGAGTACGAAACCGTTGAAAATTTAAAACGGCAAACACGATACGCGACCTGAGGGCGTTCTGTTATAAGCCATATTTGCTATAAGGGTCCCAAGCCACTGCGTAGTGCGAAACTTCTTCCTTTATTCAACGTAACATAAGTGCCAAAAATGACATTCAAACTATTCGAATGCATCGTAAATGAATTTTGTAACACTTTACATAAGGGGACTAGCTGTTGCTCGCTACGTAAACTAGCTCGTAATTATTCCCGGGATAAAAATATATGTGTTCTTCCAGACTATGCTCTAATCCTGTGCCAAATTTCATGGAGCTCCGTCCAGCCGTTTAGGCTACAAACGCTAACAAACATCCATCCATCCATCCATCTAAACTTTCGCATTTAT